CTTCCCACCTTTTTAATTTTTTTTTTTTTTTTGCTTGCATTAGTTTTAGATATGAGATTGAATATGTCACTTAGAGAACTGTTGCTTTCAAGAGATCTGTAATGGGGAGGGGAGGAGACAAAGACTTTCATCTATCAGTTGGGAGGAAAGGAAAGAGCATAAAGGGTTAAAAAGAGGTTTTCATTTCTACCACATGCCCTATTGTGTGAGCATATGCGTAAGTCTATTGAAAGTTTTCGGAAGATGGGCAGGCCACCAGTTGCTGGTCTCCTGCAGTCCCAGTAGACATCTGTTGCCCCAGAGCATTAACCAATCTGTTCAAAGGGACATCCTTCTTTTGTTAGCTAGAGGGATGCAGACAACAGCACTCACTGAAATACAATGGTAATTAAATACACAGAGACTACAGCAGTAGGTATTTATTACATATTCATTATTTTATTTTCATTGTTCTCCTACTATTACCATTTTGATAACAACCAGATCCCACTTTATGGCATTGTAACTCGATGTTACAAACAATTTGATTTAACAAGTTTATGGTCTAATATTCCTGATTAATATGATGCTCTTTAGAATATAAAAAAAATTTTTACTGGATTTGAGGTAAAGGCTTATCTAAGTTATCTAATGAGAACTTTAAGGAAAGCTCACTAAATGGGGGAATCTTTGTATATGCAGCAGATTTTTAGTAAATAGCCGTTAGATCATAAATCTGCTTTCAGCTAGTGTAAAACTTCTTTTTGGCAATTAAAATAATTATTTATACTTTATCATCAACAAAATTAGCATGACATTTTAGTTCTTTTTTCAACATATAATATTATTTTATTTTTTAACTTACTAGGCCTTCAGCAAGAAAAATTGTTCATTTCCAATACAACATTTGAAGGAAATCTAAAGTTCTGTAAGTGCAGAAATCTGTTTTTAGACCATTAAATGTTTCCTCAGTACCTTTTGTGTTCATGAATATAGTATATAAAGTCCAATTATAATGGGTCTCTGATATAGAGCCTAAAAGTTAAGCTGTATTCTTGGAGTTTTTGGATAACTGTGGGAATATAAACACTGACCTACTTTGTGTATGAGACTGTCTAGGCTGCTTCTTCATGAAATGAGGGAAAGGATTGGGGGCAGGAGGAGAAGGGGACGACAGAGGATAAGATGGCTGGATGGTATCACTGACTCGATGGACATGGGTTTGGGTAGACTCTGGGAGTTGGTGATGGACAGGGAGGCCTGGCGTGCTGCAATTCATGGGTTGCAAAGAGTCAGACATGACTAAACAACTGACTGACTCTTGTTAATAGATGATTAAAGATGATTTATATGTGTTTGCATTTCAGTAAATGGCAAAACTTAAAAGTTCATGGTTTAAAACTTAAGGAGAAAAATGTTTTCTTCCTTGCATGTAATAGTAAATTTTGTGATGTTTTTGGAGTCTTTGCTAATCATTTTCAAAATTATATTGGTCATTTTTAAGGCACTGAACAAAAATTAAGATCATATACCATTCTTTGTTCTAAGATGTCTTATAATAAAAATTCCTTGTAAAGTTTTGCACATTGCATTACATTAAGAGGTACCACAGTCTATGAAACTATTTTTGTTGGTTTTTAAGAATAGCATTTAATTTTTTTCTTGACTGGATTATTGCCAATTTTTCTTAGTGCCATATTCATTCAGGGCAATCTTTTACTAATTACAAATGAATAAGAAAGCACTTTAGAGATTAAAGTTTTAAAAACCAAATCTTTACCATTTGGGTCAATAAAAATAAGTTATTTCAAATTTATATTACGTAATGGAGAAAATATATGCATCTTATAGGTCTGGTAATTAAACTTATTTGTCGTTATATGTACTATTTCATATTTAGTCTGTTGATTTATTGGAACTAAAAATTATTTAACTGCTTGCTTAGTACAAGATGACATTGGATAACTTTCTTTGAGGTGATCAATGAAATCTGGAAGATGAAGAGAGGCCTGTCAATGTGAAAAAAAGTTCAGCCAGAATATTTTAAAAGAAAAGTTATTTTGTGTAACAAAATTAGGTGTAAATTTTTTGAAGTAATGTAAATCAAGCTTACACTTATACCTAATATTAAAAATCATGTTAGCTTACTTGGAAACATCTTAGTTTCATAGTATATATAAATTATGTGAATTATCACAACCTAAAGGTGTAGTATTCCCTCAGTACAAGTGAGTTTTATCAGGCTTAATATTATAAGAAGAAAACAACTGATAATACCATTTTATCCCTATCTAATCATTATAGTCCTATAATAAAATTACACAGCAGAGCAGATTTACATAGTGTTACCAACACTTTCAGTATGAGACAAAGTGATAACAGAAAAGATTTAAATACATTTTTAGGCTGGTTAATTTTCAGTTTAAAAACTTTTTAATATCTGGTTTTACTTCGGTGACAAATGTGAAAATTCTTTAAACATAACATTTCATTGCAATGTTCCCCACTGACTGTATTTTCCATAAAGTGTTCATTTTGTTTAAAATAGTCCAAAAGAAAAACATTACAGCTCAATATTAAAATAATATTTCCTAGTTCAATTCAGGGATTTGGTCGGTGAATCATTATCTTGAAGAATTATCTCACAACAGCACTTATGCAAAATCCAAACTTTTTAGGGGAGATCAAAAATGTTGCCCATTAAATACACTTCCTGCAGTCAGAGCAGATTGTGAGGTTTACAGAACAATGATGTCGGAGCTTCCAGATTGGTTTGGCAGCTGCATTGTTCTCAGAGGGTAAACCAGACGCACTTAAGTCCCAGTCTCTTTTATAGGCTTTTGTTCATACCAAATTATTCTTTCACTGTGCTAGCATTCATGATGGCACGTTAAAAGAGTGCCGCTTAGCAACCAGCTCTGGTTGCCAGGCAGCCCAGCTTCCAATAGGTTTTCCTTGTTTAAGATACTTTTGGTGGAAGCTCTACCAAGGCCACAATACAGATTTTTCTTTTTAACTGTATCCCTTTATTAGAATGCTGTTGTGATTTGTTGCTTGCATTATGGTGTCAGTATATTACAGTAGTTAATAAATCACTGAGTATAAAGATTTGCTTTCAAAATCCCTTCCTTTAATTCTAATAATTGGGCTCATGCACATCCATATTAATAGAAAAAAATTGAAATGGATACAGCTTCATAATAGAGCAGATGTATATAAAGGTCTCCCAAGGAAAATTTCTTTTTTTTATCATTTGTGCAATCAGAAGCAAAGAGGGTGATGTTTCTTTAAAAACTAATGAATGCCATATTAGAACAATGATGTTAAAGTTACCTGTCTTCTCAAGGGATAAAACCTGAAGAAACTCCTGTGGAAATGTGTAGGAGTTCTACACTGGAGGGATTTTAAGTGTACTGTTATCAAGCTAAAGATTCCATGGTCTCTTCTCTAGTATTTACCATAGGTAATATAATTTATTTTATTATGTAGAAATACTTCACTCTGTAATAAGTTCACCAAATGCATTCAAATGTGCAGCTTCTTAGAAAATCACTTAGCATTTTCTCTTAGCATTTATATAATAGCTCCTTTCTACTGTAAATAAGATGTTGAGGAACTGTAGAATAAAATGTGTTTCCAATTTTCTTTTTTAGGTTATTTAAATAGGTGTTTTATGACAGTCTCAAATTCAGCTGCCATTGGCTTACTAATGTTAATCATGGATAGAACACTGAAATTACCTTAATAAGTAAACTACTGATGTGCATATAGCCCCTACAATGAAGCACAAGAGAAAATAATTTTATTTTGCTAACCTGTTCCTGGTAGAGAAATAATTATTAATCTCAGTTGATTCTAAAGAAACTGGTAAAATGGCAAAAGCATTTTAAACATAAAAGCATTCCTGCATGGGGAAAGTAGAAGAAAAGATGACTTTAACCAAATGCAGATAGCAGTTAGGCAATTATCTAATGTCATACAGAAGTATTTTCTGCCATAAAATTCAAGAAATTAAGATAACAGTCAATTTTATTTTGAATAAACTCTATTCACTTATTCAATGTACTTAATTATCTGCTGCTAATGAAATATATTCCTATACTTTCTATAATTGTGCTAGAATAAGAGCTTTTCCCCCTGGAATGAAAGAAACTAGTCTTTGGCACTTAAGGGTAGCACAGTGTTGAGAGTTGTATTCTGTTACTGTGTTCAGGATTTGCAAAATTAAGATTATTAGGGCAAAACTATTACTTCTTAAGTGGAATATAATTCACTTTTTTTTTTTACTATTTTTTTTTCATTTATTTTTATTAGTTGGAGGCTAATTACTTTACAATATTGTAGTGGTTTTTGCCATACATTGACATGAATCAGCCATGGATTTACATGTTTCACTTTGTAATTATTTCATTCCTTGTTGGCTCTTGTAGAATCTGTGCTCTTTCATTACAATACCTAAATTATTTTTGAAAGTCTTTAGATTAATCCAAATTAACAACTTTTAAATTATAGTAAGTTAATGTTTTCCTTTTCACATGGCTTTCTCTTTAAAAGAATTTTTGCAAATCTTTATGGATTCTTTTAGAAAAAATGTATACAAAGTGTCATAGCACATCTAAAACATGCTTTTTTTTTTTTTTTTTTTAAATAATATTCTGTGTGTCACTGTAGAAACAGGCCTTTCTAACTCTGGGAAAATCTCTCCCATCTCGATTGAGAAGCAGCATGATACTGTGGTGAAAGCATGGGTTTGGAAACCAGACAAAACTGGGTAAAAAAAAATCCAGTTCCTCTACTTATTTACTTTGCTGCCTTGTAGGGAATACTTAGCCTTTCTAATTCCTAACTTCATTGTCTGAAAAAGACATGATACTATCTTGGAAAGGTGTTATGAATGATGAGAGGATGTAGACAAAACAAAGTTGATATCCAGTAGTTTGATAACTCTCTCGCAACTTCTTTATTGAACCAGAAATGAACCAGTAAATATGAAATACTAAATATTCTACATTTTTCTCTAGGAATACGGGGTGCTTTGCATTCAAGAATACAGAAAAAACAGCAAAGTGGAGTCAAGTACACATAACAGCTTCATGGGCTTGAAGGATCATCTGGGGCATGACCCAGGCCACCTTTATGTGGAGAGCACTGACCCACATTTAAGTACATCTGTACCTTGGTCAATGGTAGAAAAACCAACAATGGATAAAGTTAATTCCGGGAAGGAAGAAAAAGAGATGTCTGAAGAGAATGCGAGCTCTGGTGACTCTGAAGAAAGCACAAATTCTGATAATGAGTCAGAACAATTGAGTAGCATCTCAGTAGAGCCATGCTTATTAACCAAGACTCACAGACAGCTATGTAGGTCTCCCTGTTTAGAGCCTCACATACTCAAATGCAGTGAAATTTTGCAAGACTTTAAACCTGAAGAGTCCCAGCCATCCAAGGAAATGAAAAAACCCCCTGATGTGGTGCGAGAATACCAAACAAAACTGGAGTTTGCACTGAAGCTAGGTTATTCTGAAGAACAGGTTCAACTTGTGCTAAACAAACTTGGTACTGATGCTTTAATCAATGATATTCTGGGAGAACTTGTCAAACTTGGAAATAAAAGTGAGGCTGAACAAACAGTTAGTACACTTAACATTATAATGCGGGAAACGTCTTCCCTGGAATCTCAGCGGTCTGAATCTCCGATGCAAGAGATTATAACGGATGATGGGGAAAATCTGAGACCAATAGTTATTGATGGCAGCAATGTGGCAATGAGGTAAGTGGGGAAATCTTCACTCATTATCACTAAACAATCTTTAAAACATATTTCTAATTTTGTGACCATTTGTCTTAATGTTAAAGTTGTTCTTCATTCCAGCATTAGCTTCCATATTTCTAATCGTGTCTTTCTTAGTTCTTGCTCTTCCTTCCAGAATGGTCAGCCATTCTCACCTCATTTGTCCCTAAATAAAAGACCTCCTTTTCCCCAGATATGTTTTCCCCAACTCATCTGGCTAACTTTACTATGGTATAAAAATTAGCACATATCCCAGTATAAAGTTAAATATTAGTTTTAATTGAAGAACTTGAATATGATCATATTGAACAGTTTTGGAACCTAGAGGGATAAATGGCCTATTTCTATACAAAGTCAAATAACCATAGGATAAAATCCCAGTTCTTTGAGAAGATTTTTTTTTAATTTGGGAACAAAGCCATAATTTCAGGTGCTTGTTTGTTGTTGTTGTTGTTGTTGTTGTTATTGTTCCACTTAAGAAATGTAATTCAAAAATAATTTTTTAGGATTTTGATGGCTTAAAATGTAAAGTGAGTGTAAATTCAATTTGTATATAGTTAACTGCCCATGATGTTCAGAATACTGTGGGGATATAAAGATATATAAAGGTATCGGTTCTTCTTTCAGAAAGCTTAACATTTCATATATTGTTTCTCAAAGTGATCTGAGGATAACTACCAAAGAATCATTGGGGGAACTTGTGCTAACTTGTGTACATTCTAGAGCAGTGCTGTTCAATGGCACAATAAAAAATTAAACAAGTGAAATTAATATGAAAAACATTTTAGCTAGGCTAATATATATAAAATATTATTATTTCAATGTATGTCCAATAAAAAAATTGTTAGAAATATTTTGGCATTATTTCTTTCATATTAAGTATTAAAATTGGGTATCTTACACTTATAGCACATCTCAGTTCAGATTAACCATACTACAAATGCTTAATTTGTAGCCTGTATCTACATATTAGACAGTGTAGTTCTAGAAACTACCAAGTCCACACATAGACCTACCAAATCTAGATCAAGGTATAGCCCAGCCATCTCCTTTTCTAACAAATACCCCCACTGATAATGGTGCCTACTGAAATTTGAGAACCACTGTTTTTTAGGTGTTAGCAAGTATTTCTGCATAGGGTATGAGAAGGACTAACTTATAATCCTCAAAATAATACTGCTTCCACTTGATGGAAAGGGAAAGGTTATCTTTCATTTATAAGCAAATTTGCCCCAGGTAAAATGTAATTCACCTCCAGATATGTCTGACTTCAGAGTCTATACATTTTTCATCATCTAATGAAAGGTAAAAATCAAGTTAAAAATGTTCAAGTTAGATTTTCCAAAACCTCAAATACCAAGCTAGAGAATTTAAACTTGGCTCTGAGCCACAGGTAACTGACAATTTTTGAGAAGGGAAATGTCAAGAGTAGAGCTGTGCCTTAAACTGATAATATGGTCGTGATATTTATAGTGGATTATAGGAGGCAGGCGATCAAGTTGGATGCAGACAACACTTTCTGATGGAGTAAAAAGGGCCTTAAGTGTCATAAAAAAACGTGTACATACAACTTTGAGAAGCCCTTAAGCAAAATAATCTTCTCTGTTGTTTAATCTTTCCCACACTTCACCATGAAATGATTTTTTTTCTTTTTTTTGGAGCTCTTTTTATTTTTTATTTTTTTTTCGAACTGTTTAACAAGTACCTTAGCAGAGTTATAATGAGTAAAGCCGAAACACCATGGAAGCGCCAAGCAAGCAAGTAACGAAGGAAGGGCAGCCTAGAGAAATACCTGCCGCCATAGTCATATGCAGCTAAAAGCAGCAGAGAGGGTTTTAACAAAATACATTTTCCAGGGCTCAACTCTGACTCAGAAGTGTATGATAGAGCTCAAATAACTCTACAGTATTTTTAAAGTGCCGAGGTATTTCTGATGCATAGTCAGTGTTGAGAACCATTCATCATGAAAAGTATGGATAGCAATAGGTCGGGAGGTGGAAAAAACTGATGATCCAGGGAGAGAGTAGTTTAGGAAATACCAGTCCAAGTAGTGCTAGTAAAACCAAGACACACACAAATGCCATCCAAGAAGAGGCTTTAAGGAGAGAATATCCTGTGGGGAGAACTGAAAACAGATCAAGGACACGACAGCCAGGAAGTGATTGTCTTCAGGAGCCATATGGAGTTGAAGATAGAAACCCAGTTACAGTATGTCAAGAAGTGAAGGGGTAGAGCTACACTGTTATTCTAGAAAGTTGGCAGAGGAGGGGAAGGAAGAGGAGGAGTTGGGAAAGGACTTTTTAGTTTTACATAAAATGAAACTATATCAGCCGAGGGGCTTGGGAGAAAGTCTTCACAACAGCAATAATATGAGAGTTCAATTTTTGAAGCAGAGTTCTCTGAAGGAGGAGACAAGAAAGACGCAAGTGGATAATTTGGCATTGGAGGTAAAGGCACTTTGGGGTTGTCAGCAGAACAACCCGGAGGGGAGAAACAGCATCAAAGCCCATAGAAGTGAATTCTTTTAAAATGGATGTCCTTTAGATAAATGATGTCACAGTTGAATCAACTCACATGATTGAAATCTAGTTCCCAGTGGCAATTGAAAAGTACTTTGATAACTGAAAATCTGCATAAAACTCTAAACTTTATGTATCCCAGATGATGACATACAAAAATAAATGGCAGAATGGAGGCATTTCAAACAATCTATTATATATAATTATTGAAAACACACTTGTACCCCCACGCTATCTGGGCCTCATTCTGTTCCTTTTACTATAAAGGTGGAACAATGCAGATTCAGTTCTCACCTCCATCATATATTTTATTCCATCACATAAACTGAGATGCTTCAGGCATTTCAGGAGAGAACAATGTGACAGGAAATTTTTATTGTAGCAGCATTATACTGTAAGTCACAATGAAATGTTGTACCGTGTCCATAACTTTGAAAGCATCAGAACTTATGGAAATTTACAGTAAACTTTTACATTCTGCCACTTATGAGATCTGCATAAAGTTAAAAAGTCATTTAGAAATGCATATCAACTTCAGATTCAAAATCTTAATTTTAACAAAAATGTGGAGAGATTTTACCCATTTTCTGTTGTATAAAATATAACAAACATGCTTTTACTTTTTAACCTAACATCCTACTCATGGTACTTTAGCAAACCTGTTATATAATAAATTTACACACAATAAATTATAATAGGTAAATGTGAGGGTTAAGAATAGAGTATTATTTTACTTCCTTTCTGATTTCTCAAGCAGATATATTCCATATGTAACATGAATATATTTTAATTTCATTTAAATGCTAGTAATAGAACTGATATAAATATAGACTCTTTAGATGTAAATTAAAAGTAGGAAAGAAAGGCACTTTATTAAAATTACCAAAATGGGCTTTTAAAAAAGTTTTCTACACACTATCTTTGTGATTCTGAGTAACTTGTTTAAACTGTCCAATCTCAGTTTTCAGGATTCTAAAAAGGGGGAAACTCTTATCTTGCGGGCTTGTTATTAGAATTAAAGATAATCAGTACTGAGTGCCTGGCATGTAATAGGTGCTCAGTAAATTACAATTATCATCATTAAAAAGCTAGATTCTACATTTTAATCCAGAATATAGAAACTAATGTAATGAAAACTTAGTTGTTTCAGTTTTTTTATTCAACGTTTCAGTTCAGTTCAGTCGCTCAGTCGTGTCTGACTCTTTGAAACCCCATGGACTGCAGCACACCAGGCCTCCCTGTCTATCACCAACTCCCAGGGCTTGCTCAAACTCAGGTCCATCAAGTCTCCGTGATGCCATGCAACCGTCTCATCCTCTGTAGTCCCCTTCTCCTCCTGCCTTCAATCTTTCCCAGCATCAGCATCTTTTCTAATGAGTCAGTTCTTCACATCAGATGGCCAAAGTATTGGAGCTTCAGCTTCAGCATCAGTCCTTCCAATGAATATTCAGGACTGATTTCCTTTAGAGTTGACTGGTTGAATCTCCTTGCAGTCCAAGGGACTCTCAAGAGTCTTCTCCAACACCACAGAATTATGTTGAATTATGTGTTAATTTAGTGTTTAACCCATAGCAATTTAGCAGTTCATCTTCTTCTTATGAACCTATAGGTGTATTTTAATTCTTCATATTTATATCATCAATTGTTTTCAATGATTTCTATTTTCATAAAGGAGACTCGGGCTCTTAGATCTGGGTGAACCCAAAATTGCCTGGGAATGAGCCCTTTAACTGTAATATACAGCATAGTTCCCAAAATTGCAGGGATCCTGTGTTGCTTTGCAGGAAGCATACTTCTTTCAGCTTATTAATATCCTCTTAAAAATGTGCCACACTGATAGAAGTTCTGGGTAAGTTTATTAAATAAGCAATTACCCAAAATTGACAAATATTCAAAAATAGAAGAGAGTGTAAACTAATAAGTTTAGCAAAAGCCCTAAACTTTTGCACCAAAGTACTTGATTTCTGAAATATAAAATAGAATGAAATTAATATTTAGCAAAGCTGGACTAACTAGCAATTACTGACAAAAAGGTGTAGCTAATTCTTAAAAAAGCTGGAAAAAAAAACCACCTCTTAATAATTTTGCAAACTGGTCATTCAGCAAATAGGCCTCTTTCCATAGTAGGGCAGATACTTTGGTAAGTATACCATGAAGTGTATCAGTTCAATTCAGTTGCTCAGTCGTGGCCAACTCTTTGCGACCCCATGGACTGCAGCACACCAGGCCTCTGTGTCCATCATCAACTCCTGGAGCTTACTCAAATGGGTCCATCAAGTCGGTGATGCCATCCAACCATCTCATCCTCTGTCATCCCCTTCTCCTCCCGCCTTCAATCTTTCCCAGCATCAAGGTCTTTTCAAATGAGTGAAGTGTATACTCCAGATACAGATGCAGAAATAAAGCGTAAGCAATATTTATCATACTTCTAAAATGAAATTCTAAATGATACTGTTATTT